CGCCGGGCCTCTCCGCCTCCTCCTCCGCAGTCGGGCCGCCACCGCCCGGTCGCCTTTGCCCAGGGTGGTGGCCCCTGGGGCGGCGAGCTGGGGTGACAGGAAAGGGGAAAAGCAGGATACGGGGGCTGGAGGAGCTGAGAATTGCGAGGGTCATTTGCTGGCAGGTGGTGAGAAGAAAGAGTGGTTTATCTGTCATTATGTCAGTGAACGGACAGGCGACGATAGACACAAACTGAAATGCAAGAAATTCCATTTGTGTGCGAGGAAAAACTATTTTATAGTGAGGGTGGTCAAGTACTGGAACAGTTTGCCCAGAGAGGTTGTGGTCTCCATTCTCAGGAGATGCTCCATGGGACACCTGAGAAGGGGCTGCACCAGACCGTGTCCAGAGGTGCCTTCCAACCCGAACTGCCCTGTGATTCAGCTACTTAGGAAAACTGGCAGTAAAGAGTCATGAACGTGCTGTGGTTCGAGTGAGCTGATATTACAAGTGTGTGGGATTGTACCCATGTACGACAACCACATACAAATACCAAGAGTGCCTGCAGTCAAATCATATCTCATCTCATCTCTGTATCTGCTGCGTGGCTGAGATAGGCTGGACACACGTTGTAGAAGTGTGGGGATCTCACGTTGTTCTTTAGTGCTAATTCTGTTATCACAAATGTGTCTGTAACAGCTGAGAGGGATGGGGAAAGTCAGAGCCCCGGTGGGCAACGTGCCCTGTGCGCACCAAACAACTGACAGCCCCTGCCCCGAGGAGTCTGGGGAGTGGATAATGGGTGGAAAGTCTAGGAGAGAAGGTGTGCTGGATTTTCTGCCTTACGATCAGAGAACAGAGGCATGGAGGGACTGAGCTCAGTGTAGGCTCACTGGCTTTAAAGAGGTCTGGATCAGGCCCTAAGTCACGCTCCAGAAACCATCTCTGCTGCAGGCTCCCAGCTATCCATAAATATTTTTAGCTGCCTGTCATGTAAGCAGCTGGAATATCCTCCAGCCTGCTGCAAACCCTCACAAACCACGGGCAGAGATTGCAATAGATGATATGTGCAAGCTACATCCCATCAGTGGTGTTCATCTGGGTAGGGCACAGGTGCTGGGAAGAGGGTAAAGGCTTACGTTCATATTTTATCATTTTGTACGCGCTTTTGATGCAGTTCTTCCAGGCATAAATATGTTTCTCCCTCCTCTTCTGATGAGCCCTGGATTGCAGTCAAAACAGTGTTTGTTAGCAGCACACTCTCAGTGGAGGCGTCTGAGATGAAATGAATAGAGCATAATGGTGTAGTTGTGATCACAAATAAGAAAGGAGGGTAGGTTGTGAAGATAAAAAATCCAAGTAAACAACAGTGGCACATGATAATACAACTATGAAAGTGTTGCTTTGGCTTAATGAACTGAAGCATAAGCAGGAGGCTCTCCATGATATCACATTGTCCTGGTTTCAGATGGGGTTTTTACTCCCATCTCAACAGCAGGTCTCTTGATTCTTTGAGTGAAATTTGAGTGAGCTCACAGTAGTCAGAATCAGTAAACGGAGGCAGGACCAAGCATTACTTCACCATGAAAGAATCAAAAATAAGCCCACCACTTAGTCTTGTAGCTTTCTGTCGTTGTGTGATAAAATGTTGCCTTTAGTGAGCTATGCACCCGTGTTTGTTTATAAACAGGAGGTAAGTTACCAAACTTCTGCATCTGCTTGTGTATCTTCTCATCCCCTTTGACTGACAAATTGCCCTGCAACTGATACAAAAGGGCATTAAACGCTGACCTGCCGTGTCTACAAAATTATGTGAAACAACTTTGGAAACATGGAAAAAACTCCTATGGGGTCCCTAGGATGAGGGACTGGCAATTCCCTTTTCTTGGGAAACAATTTGTTAGCAGCAGTTATGAAACTTTCAGGAGCTAGGGGTCTGCTTCTTCCCAGTGAACACTAGGAATGCAAGGAACTACACTAGCTGAGATCTGGGAAGACTGCAGAACATTTCTTGGTGTTGATGGTTTTTTTTTCCTCCCCTGCTCTTTCAGCATGAACAGCCATACCCAGGGAAGTGTGTATGCCTGAGTATCGTGGAAACAGTCATACCCAGGGAAGTGTGTATGCCTGAGTATCGTGGAAACAGCCATACCCAGGGAAGTGTGTATGCCTGAGTATCGTGGAGGCAACTCGACCACAGCTCTCCCCGCCCCGGGCCAAGGAAGGACACGGTGAGTCACATCAAGGGTTTGCGAGTGAAGGAGATTTTCGTGTTGGTTAAGTTGTGCTGATGCAGGAGTATCATGCGTGTCTCTAATTCAGACCAGGGGAAGCAGTGTCTGCCTCACCCACAGGTGCAATGAGGACAACTCTTGAGATACGATCGTCAGGTGTTTCCACTAGAGGCTGCACTGGTCCGAGCGCATTTCCCAGTGCAGGCATGCTCAGCACCTCCTCACCTGGAGCCCTGTGTGCGGGAGGAGTTTGCTACAAGAGCAGTAATGACTCTAATATCGAAGCCTCCCTCGGATATTAGCATGAACACCTAAGATGTGTGTGTCATAAAAGCACTGCATCAGCTCTGCTTCCAGAACGTTCCGGGTAGAGCCCCCTCAGGGTCCGTTGGTGTAGCAGCTGTGCCAGTGATGGCTGCAGCTGTGCCGAGTTAAGGGCACTGCCCAGGTGCAGGCGCTCAGCCCCTGATGGGCGGCGGGGCCGGGTAGTGCTCGTGCGCTTCCACTGTTTCTGCCTCAGGCTGGGGGTGACCACTCTGAAAGATCAGCTCCCGAGTTCTCCCAAACCTGGTCAAAAAAAGCCGCAGGAAGGAGAAACTCTGTAGCCCTCGGCAAACAGCCACATGCTTCTTCATAGCCCCACAAAAATGGGTTTTGGAGGGAAAAGGTATGAGCTTGATATCAAAGAGCGTACAAATGGTAAGTGCATTGCTGAGGTCTGTTTGCTTACCGCTCCCCGGGGTTGTTTGCTTGTAGGAGGTGCTCTCAGCTTTTATCCTGCTGGCTTTTTTGGTTTGGTTCGGTGGATGTTCACATATGGGGGTAGCTCTGATATGTCTGTAATTTAATGTATCGTTCATGTGTGCAGCAAATTGGGTCTGTGTCTTCCCTAGCCTTCTGAGGTTTTATGCTTCACAAAGCACTGCAGGGCTTCATCACTACTTTGGTTGAAGATTTGCAAGCAGACATATTAAGTTTAGCCCTAAGACTCCCACCTTTGCAGGTAAAGGGATGTCATGCTTCACACCGGGATGTTAAGTGTTTTGTCAGTTCGAGCAGCAAGGAGCCAGCTGGGCTTCACTTCGTCCCTGGAAATCACTTGTGGAGTGGGAGAGCGACTGGCCACCATGGCTGTTGTTTGGTATGCCCAGTTGGTTGAAAAACAGAACGTGTGTTTCACAGGAGAGCTCGGAGAAACGAGAGGAGCGAGGTGTCAAGTTTTGCTCTCTGTCGTTATGCAAGGGCGTCAGGGGCTCCTGTGTGCCTCTGTGTTACGAGTATCTCGTTGCCGGTATCCTCAGCCTCGTTCTTCACCGAACTGGTGGCAGCAGAACCTTGTCGGTCGGTTGCTTGGCCATCAAGGGTCCCTGGAGCACACGGGTCTGTGCTTTAAGCTGCGGGGCTGCCAGGGTGGGAGAGAGTGACCCTCCGGGGTGACGGGGACGATACCAGCGGCCCGGCTCGGGGGGCGCGGGCGGGAGAGGGATTAGCGCAGTCACCGCCGGGGATGGAGCGCAGCCCCGCGGGGCCGCAGCCGGCTCTCGGGGCTCCCGAGCGCGGGGCGGCGCCGTCCGGCCGCCCGCGCTGCCCGCTGTGCCCGCGGGGGGCCGGGGGGGTCCCGCGCCTCGCCGCCCGGCCCCTTTGCATTGCGCATGGGCCCTCCCCGCCGGGTGGCCATGTTGCAGTGCTAGCAGGCGCGCAGAGCGGCGGGCCGGCAGCGCAGGCCGCAGCGCCTCAGCACCGCACCGCGATGGCCGTGGCCGTGGGCAGACCGGCGGTGCGCGGGGCAGCGCGGGCTGGGGGCGGCGGCCGGGCGGGGGCCGGGAGGCTGCGGGGCGCGGAGCCGGGGTTCGGGGGTGCGGTGCCCGCGGCTGCGTTGGGGGCGCGCGATGCCGGGGGGACGCGGTGGCGCTCGCCGGGGCGCCGCCGCCTCTGCCCCTTCCCGGGGCCGGGGGCGCCCGCGCAAAACTTTTTGTCTCCGTTTCGACGGCCCCGGCTCGTGACTGCGGCGGGGCCGGGCCGGTGGCGGCGGCAGCTTCGTCCCGGAGCCCCGCCGCCTCCGAGCCGCGCGGGCAGCGGGGAGGCGGCGGGGTGGTCCCCGGCTGCGCCCGCCGACTTGAGCTGTGCGGCAGTTGCTGTGCCGCGGCGTGTTTCTGCCCCGCCGCTTTCCCGCCGGATGGGAAGAGCTGGGAGCGGGCAGAGCAGTTACCCCGTTGCGGGATGGGCGCCGGGCGGGCGGGACTGCCGGCGGCCGGAGCGTGCCTGCGCGGGCGGGAGAGGCAGTCCGCAGTCCCGGAGGGAAGTCTTCGAGGGCACGCGTGTCTTGCGTTTTCCAGCGTGACCGTTTTTTCTCGGGATGTGGTGGCCGGGAGTCTTTTTTTTTTTTTTTTTTACGTGCATGTTGAGAAGGACAAAAGATTTCCCCTTTACGGAGAGAAATAAAAAAAAAAACCTAAACCCACGAAAACTAGCAGATGCTGCTCCTGAAAAAAAAAAAAAGCGAGTCTCTCTTGCATTCAACTTGAAGAAACGTGAATGAAACTCCACCGTGACCAGACTGAATGCACTTTTGTGCATCGTCGGCCGCGGGAGGGAGAGACTTGACCGACTTCCCAGCAACTTTTTCAGTGCTTGCGAGTAACCCAGATGTTGCCCATGAGCCGAGGACTTGAATGTGGCTCCTTCTCATAATAAGAGAATGGTCTGCGTTCAAGATGTGACCAGAATGAGACAGTTTCTTTTGGCATTTATTATGTGCTTGTGGATCTGCGGGGCTGTAATGTTCCTCTGATGTGGCAAAGCAAATGTATGGAGATGGGGTTTAATGGTGTTACTGGAGGTGGGGAAGTTATGCTGCTAAGCAAAATAAGAGCTGATGTTTGTTAACAGAATACCTATAAATTATATCAGCTATTTGTAAAGCTTCTTCTGAAATGATTCCTTGATCTTAAGGTCTGAAGCATGCTTGGAAATTGAAGTTTGTCTCTCAGTGTAAGAAGATGCATTGAAATCATGGCTTCAGCTGGTTTTTAGGGCAGGCTGAAGGGTATTGCCAAGCCTTTTCACTTTGTGTGGAGCAGCAACCTCACAGCATTAATAGGCTGAGGAACGTGGCTTACTGCAAGACGTGATTGCTGTTTGTTCCTGAGTATGTGTTTTGCTTTATTTTTTTGTCATTATGTTAAACTCGTGCTGTCACTCAGCCTCCCGTGTTTCTGGTTAATCCAAGTCCATGAGCAATCCCAAAGCAGCATCCACAGAGGGTTTTGCAGTAGTTAAACCAAATCCCTGTGTGTGTGTGTGTGTGTGTGCTGCTGAGTCCAGTGCAGTGGGGCTGGCTGCAGGATAAAGCATCCTTCAGCATGAGAAGCATGTGCGTGTGGGAGAGGGAAGGACGAGGGCACTCGGCTTCCTTTGCAAGCAGCTGGTGGGCAGACCCTTCACCCTCCCGTGTAGCTGCTTTTTGAAGAAGAGTTGTTTTATCTTGAGGTGATAAGAGAAGAAAGGACAGTGGGCTGACACTCGGGAGGCATTGGGGGTGTTTTGTCTTGCGTATCTTCTTATCTAATCCTGTCTGCTCCCACTTTGCCTGCTGCTGTTGTGTTGCTGGGAGGGTGGCAGGGAGTTGGAAGAAATAGTTAATTATATGTTAGAGCAAGGCAAGACTGGTGAAGATTTGCTTTGCAACTTTCTTACAGAATGTGATTAAGTGGAGCCTTGAGTGGTATGCGTCTGGTTGGAGGGAGAATTAAAGGAAGGGGGAAAGGAAAGGAATGAAACCAAAAGCGAGTCAGTTTGACTTAAAACGATGATAACATTCCTGAGTCACAACCTTTTACGTCCTGGCAGGATATGACATTATGTTAATTGTAAAAGCATGCATAAAGAATAACTTCAGCAAACTGCTCTGAAGTGTCTGTGTTTAATTGTAGCCGAGCAGGGCGTGTTTTGGTAGGATGGGCGGCTTTCATTTTTAGGCCCTGATCCCACAGATGTGAGGGCACATGTGTAATGCGCTGCCTATAATTTCATTTGCCTTAATGGAGCCCGCTCTGGGTATGTAAATGTAAAGGCATGCATAAGCAAAGCTTTGGCAGGACTGGTGCTGGGAGCTGCCCTGGGAGCTCTCAGCTGATGAAAGCCGAGCATGTGCTTAAACATGCACCGGGCTGGAAGGATGCACATGGTCTTCTGGGCTCAGTGTGAGATAAGCCACTTGCAGTGTGGAAACGGTTGAGGTGTGCTAGATATGGGACCCCTTTCTTCCTCCTGGGTTACTTCCCAGCATCTTGACCAGTGTGGGATGGGTTCTTAGTAGATCAGAGCGTGGAAGAGGGCTCTGGCCTGCCTACCCTTCTCTTTATGTGTTTATCCCAAATGTTTACAGAACCGGAGCTTGGTCTGTTACAGAAGCGAGACTCATGTTTACAATGATGTACACCCTGCTCCAAGTCAAACAGACATTGAGGGAAAGTGAAGCTGCAATGCAGATTTGACATGGGAACCATGGAGAACGTTATCTGAGAGATTAAAACAGTGTAGTGCACTCTCCCATCTGTTTTAAAAATACTTGATAATGAGAGACTGCTGGTTTCCATGGAGGGGAGGAAGGAGAGGGAGACGGGAAGGTAGAGCAAGAGATGAGCACAAAGAAAGGGGGTGCCCCCTTGTCTCTGTGAGTGTTTCTGTGCTCTCAGTAGCTGAGCATCTGGTCACAGTGAATGTGCTGTGGGCTTGGGTGGCACTGCTGGGGCTGCTGATGTGGCCAGGGCACAGGTTTTGGCTTCCTTGCCTGCTTTCAGCTGCTGAGTGGGGCTGCTTGGGCCTGGCCTGGCTCAGCTGTCTACACCAGGGGTGCAGACCTGGGTGGTGCACAGAGGACTGTATTCTAGTGCGTGACCTCTTCATTTCCTTTATTCACCTCAGCACCTTGTTTGCAGTAGGAAATTCTTCCAGACAATTCTTGTTGCTCCTGTTGATGTTAACAATGGTGGGAACTTGCCTCCTCCTCGCCTTTTTTCAGCACAGTCTTGGTTGTGGGGCAGGTTATGTGTCCAGCCCACCACATGCTCAGGGCCTCTAGCTTTTCCAGCACGAAAGGAGCTGAGCAGGAGTCAGGATCTGATGGAGATGCTTGGAAAGGCTTTACTTTGTGTAGATGAAATGATCAGGAATCAATTCTAGTGTCTGAGTAGGGCCTCTAAAATAATGATGGGGATTGATTAAGTAACCAGCATGAATCTGAGAAGTAAAATATTCACTCAGTGCTGGGGCATGTTTTGTATGTCCCCTTCCCACCCCTGCAGCCCCCGAGAGAGAGAGAAAGCTTGACTGGCTGGCTGCCTGTTCTCCAGTCGCTTGAGGGTTGTTGGTTCTCTTTCTGTAGCTCTTCCTCCTGAGGTGATTCCTAGAGCGTGGTCACGAGGCTGCTCAGTAGCTTGTGGCTTGCTTTGCAGGAGAGATGCCAGGGGGACAGGGTCTTCTGTTGGCTTGGCAAACACTCCTGCCTTTCCCAGCCTCGTCCTTGGTGTGGTTTGGCTCTAGGCTTCGGTCCTGTCAAGCTACAGTGGCTCTTGCAGGGAAAGATCCAGGAGCAGCTTCAGCGTAGAACAGTTGGATGCAAGCAGGTGATTTAAAAATAAACAAAAAAGCCTCCCAATAGTATTTGAAGCTTTTTTTAGGTACGCTCTTGAGCTGCCTGTGCTTCCAGCCCTGTGAGCAGCTCTGCAGCCTACTGGAGTAAGTGATGCAGAATAATGGTTCAGACAAACACCACGGCGTGGGGAGAGCTCAGCGTTAATTCTGCTGGAGATGCTCCAGAGCAGAGCCACAAAACCAACTTCAGGGTCTTGCTCTCTTAGCTCAGAGCAGTGGTAACAAAAATGAACCCCAAATGTTGTTCATGAGTACTACAATATAAGTGCTAGTTTGCATGCTGCTGTGTGATGGGAATAGGAGATGCTCCTTCTTCATCCCATCTGGATGCCTTTCCCCATCCTCTCCATCATGGTGCCTGGTTTAGACATGTGGGCAGGACTTGCAAGAGTTGCCAGAGCTCTTCCTCTCCACAGCTCGGGCAGGTGTGATTAATGTGGCTTAGGCAAGGTCCACTTGGCCAGGCATGAGGCAGTGGAGAAAGAGCCGTGAGAAGGGGGAGCAGCTCCCTGTGCTTTTCCTTTAGCCCTTCTGGAAGCTTTCTCCCTGTGGAGTGCTCTGCTTGGCCCATGTAAGCGATGCCCTCTTGGCATGAGCTGTAGTCCAAGGGCCATTATTGCCATTTCCCTGGTACTACAGGTATTTTGCTGAGCTCTGATTTATAAGTCTTGAGCTATCTTTGGGACTCCTTACTTAAAAATACACCCTATGCCTGTGTTTAGGAGAGTGTCAAAGTAGCCTTAGGATCTGAATTTGCAGTTAGAGCTTTGAAGTTGCTCAAAATAGGAAGGAGATAAATTTTTTCTTGCAGGCTTAAGCTTTTTGTTTTCCATAGCAGCATCCCACATGCAGTGTTGTCAAAGCACAGACTGCTACTGTTTTGGGGAGTTGGGGTTTTTTTCTTCCATCTCAGCTTATAGCTTCTTTAGATCTTTATTGTCTAATGATATTCTGTTGCCATTTCTGCATCCCACATTTATTTTCAGATGGGATTTAGCTGCTGGAATTATGTTCCTGAAGTACTGTAATTGTGGGTTATTTCTTTACCAGATCTGGCCATGAATACTTGGCACAAGTTAATAGAAAAAGACCTGTTTTAGAAACGTTTTGGTTTTGCCACAG